CTCTATAAAAAAAATTTAAAAATAGCAGGCATGGTGGTAAAATAAAATAAAATAAAATGGTGAATTTTATGTTATGTGAACTTCACCTAGTTTAGTTTAGTTGTTTAGTTTGAAACAGGATCTCACTCTGTCGCCCAGGCTGGAGTGCAGCAGTGCAGTCACGGCTCACTGTAGCCTCAAACTCCTGGGCTCAAGTGATCCTCCCACCTCAGCCTCCCAAGTAGCTGGGACCACAAGTGTGTACCATCACACCTAGCTAATTTTCTTATATTTTTTGTAGAGATGAGGCCTCTCTATATTGCCCAGGCTGATCTCCAACTCCTGGCCTCCAGCAATCCTCCCGCCCTGGCCCCACAAGGTGCTGGGATTACAGGCATGAGCCACTGCGGCCAGCCTCAACTCAATTTTAAAAATGAGTGAATTGTGTCAGAATTCTAACTGGACTTGATTCCCTGGGGAGTGAAGGATCTGGTACTGAGAAGACCCCTGGCCAGTGAGTCCTCCTTATTCTTGGGGTCCCACCCAGTGCCCCTGCCACTGCTGCCTGGACCTACCTGTGGGCAATGGCCAGGAGGGTGAAGCCATCCACGGGCCGCCGGGCCAAGTAGTATCCCAGATCCCGACGAAGTCGCACCCACAGCAGGGGCGGGAAGCGCAGCAGCTCCTTGCTGGGTGGGGTCCAGTCCCGGTACACAGCCTGCAGGACCTCGTCGTCCAAGGACAAAACATCCTTCAGCTCCGCCTCCGAGAGACCGTGCCTGAAGGGAGGAGGAGTGGGGCTTTGAGGCACATCTCATGTCTTCTGCGTTTGGAGGATACAGAAGCCAAGACAGGGAGGGATACAGCCACCCGCTCTGTGTCCAGCACATCACCTGGGATCAGCATTTGGACAGCGCCCACGAGGGCCCAAGCCCGTTAGGGCAGCATCCACCAAGGAAGACCTTTTCCGATTTTTTTTTTTTTTTTCTTTTTTTGAGACAGAGTCTTGCTCTGTCGCCCAGGCTGGAATGCAGTGGTACGATCTTGGCTCACTGCAACTTCCACCTCCCGGGTTCATGCGATTCTCCTGCCTCAGTCTCCTGAGTAGCTGGGACTACAGGTGCATGCCACCACACTCAGCTAATTTTTGTATTTTTAGTAGAGACAGGG